TTAGAGGCTTTTGCATCTGAACTCTTCATATATTGGCTAATCACTAGACTTGGCAACAGTTCATAAAAATAAAAAAAAGAAGAAAAAAAGGCAGTTACCCCATCACCAGGACTCTGTTTGCTTCTGCCAAAAAGTCTCCCAGATTTGTCCCCATCAGAGAAAGACAGAAAACAGCAATATCTACAGTAGAATCACGAAGCGGCACCTGTGAAAAAGTAATAAACAGTGCTGCTTTTAGTCTTTCGGCTGCATTACAAATTAAAGCTTTTTTACTACAATAACTTACTTTTGCCATGTCACATGAAGTGGCAAGATCACAAACCGGAGCCAAATCAAAAGAATGTACTTTATTCTTTACACTCCGAGCAATTTTACAGTCTCCACAGCCGAAATCAGCAACAACTAAAGAAGCTGGTCTGGGGGGGGGGAAAAAAGGAAATAGAAATTCATTGACTTTCAGTGCCTTCCAAAAATGCTGTATTTCTGTAGTTCATTCATGGAAGATTATTCTGTGCATGAACACTGTGATTTAATAAAGACAAGCCAGTTCATTTGTTAATTGTTCTGAATGTCTTTAAAACAATTAACAAATTAAACTGTTGTTCAGGAAACTACAGCCATGTCAAAACAGCATACAAAGGAAAATTATTATTATTATTTTTTTTTAATAAATACATACCTAAAGTTAAAAGCAATATATATATATATATAGGTGTATGTGTGTGTCTAAAAGTAATGTGTGCTTGCATACCCACAAAAAAACTCCTAAAAACACTGCATAAAGGAATCAGCAAAAAGAAGGACATCTCACTTTTTACAAATATAGGCAATGATTGAATCCACAGGGTTTGTAGGCCAGTGCTGAACTTGTGCCGTGTAGCCCTTGTGGTAAATTGCAATGGCCTCTGGGTCCTGCCGAAACATGCGGTTGGCCTCACCGCTGGTCGACGTGTAAAGCTGCTCATTGATGTAGCGGAATCGAGCGGCTTCTAACCGCTTCTCCATCTTTATCCTTAAAGCAGTCGAGGGGTCAGGAGCCACTTGCTCTTCATCGCCCTTCAAACTTACTGTTGTACCATTGGGTTCTTCTAGTTCCTCTGAGGCTTTATTACGGTAATCAGGAAGCTGCGACTTTAAAATGCGACGCAATTTTTCTTTCTTCCACTTTTCTTCTACCAGTTTCCCTTTATCTTCCACTTTATGCGAGACTGTATTGTTACTTAGGGAGTCATCTGCTATTCTAGTTCCTGTGCTAGGCATTTCATCTGTTTTAGAGTCTTTGCGATTTTGAGCATTGTCCGTGATGGAAGGAATACCATTCTTTTTATGAGCTTTCTTCGTTTTTTTGGATGCCTTGTCATGTTTCTTCACTTTCTTGGATTCTTTGACATCCTGTGTTTGAACGCATGGTTCCTCGCTCGCAATGGCATCATCAGCACCTGTGGTTTTTGGAACATATTTGTTCTTGCACCTTCTTTTGTTTTTCATCTTGTTCTTCCACTGCTTTCTGCCCAGCTTGTTTTCTGCTCGACTTTCATTTCTCTCCAATTGAGGTCCGACTCCTTTGTCAATCTGATCTTTTCTGGACTCGTGTGACACTTTAGAATCTGCAAACACAGATCGATGTGAAAAAGTCAATCATGTTTAAGAGTGTAGACATAAAATGACTAGAACATGTTCTCACTTGTTTCTTTAACGCTCTTCTTTACTGGCTTCTTCTTCTTCTGCACAGGTGGTTCAGATGAATCCCCTTTATCCTGCTGCTTCCCTTCATTTTCAGCATTAGATGTTCTTTTACGCTTTTTGCACCTTTTCTTTTTTGCCGTCTTGACTGTAGTGGAGGCATCTTTCTCCTCTTCACTATCCTCAAAAACATTCCCAGCTCCCCAGTCTGGAACTGAACCCAATGTTTGCAAGGTTCTCAAAAGACTTTGTTTACCCACAACCTTATCCTGTTGGGATAAAAATGCTAGATGAAAAATTAAATTCATGTGGCAGAACTACACTTAGATTAGGGGGAAGACATCATAATACCTTGCCAGAGGCAGGAGACATCTTAACAGTGTGAGATGATCCATCTGGTAATGGAGAATCAGTCCATTCCTCTTCAGCAAACATGTTTGTAAACGCTGTTAATTTTGGACAAACACTGTAAACCGTTACAATGAGTTATACGAAAAGAATTTGCAAGCTAACTATTATGTGCCTGCATATCTTGTCAGATGATAAAATTGATCGTAGTGCTAGCAGAAATTATTGTTGACATCCCTCAGAAACCTGTAACAGTCTCCTACAACGCATTTCAAAATGAATTTACAGCGTACTTACATCTCTCTCTGTCTTCTACACGTGCTAAGAACCGTCACGTGGTTTTGTGTACATCCGGGTTACCGTGACAACTTCCTTTCCAAACTACTCGGATGCTGGGTCCTCCAAATGCGCTCAAGCTTTATTCAAATATTTATTTGAATAAAGCTCATTTATTAAGCTCAAATATGTATTACATTGTGAAAGACAAATGGTCCATTAAATGAAAAGCATGACCGTTTTAACACTTCGCACTTCAAACATTTACACAGAAACTGCACAGCTAGATATTTCAAAAAGAGATTTTGAAAAGATTTCTGAAGAGAGAAATGGAGGACTATTGGCTGTTACATTTTCTTATTAAAAATCTGATGATAGTAAAACGGTAACACTTACTGAATAGTATCATTTGCTAACATTAGTGAAAGTATGAAGTAACTTGAACTAACAATTAATGAACAATACATTTGTAACAGTATTTACACTCTGGGAGAACTTGCACAATTGGTGGCTGACTAAATACTTTTTTGCCCCACTGTACATGTCTGTCTGTTCTGTCTATTAATGTACATAAATATATGGAAGCCTGTTTTTGCCACAGGAAAAAAAAATCTGATAATTGCAGGCTTTTTAATCTCACAATTCTGACTCTTTGCTTGCAATTCTGAGGGGGAAAAATAGGCAGAATTCTGACATTGTCTCACAGTTCAGACTTTTTCTCAAAATTCTAAGTTTAAATCTCACAATTCTGTTTTTATTTCCTCCACTGAATGAAAAATAAAAATGTAATTGTGACTTTTTTTTCCTCACAATTCATACTTTTCTTCTCAGAGTTGTGAGCTATACATATGCATTGCGAGATAAAATGTCTCAATTTTAATACTGTGGCAGAAATAAGCTTCAATAGAAAGATTTCTGGATGCTTAAACCAAGAAATAAACTTAAATATATATATATATATTTCACCTCTCAAAATATAGGAAGGGTAATGATGCAGCAGTTCAGCGATTTGACAAAAGTTTAGAGGAGTTTTATGCTCTCTGTGATCAACTGGAGCTTTGCCTGGTAAGCACCTGCTGTGATTCTGGTAAAAAATGTCATTCAAAGATCTCGTTTGATTTCGATTAACATTGACGTTTTCGTTTTTCAGCGGCTGGCCCACGAGTGCCTGTCGCAGAGCATCGACAGCACAAAGCACTCTCCAAATCTCGTACCTACAGCCACCAAGCCGGACACAGTACAAACAGAGTCTCTGTTTTACTCTCAGTATCTCAGTATGATCAAATCACAGATTTCATGTGCTAAAGACATTCATAATGCTCTCTTAGAGTGTTCCAAAAAGATTGCTGGGAAGGTTCAAGGAGCTTGTAATTAGTAGCTGCCAACTGTATTTAGTTAGCTTTTTTACATAGCGTTGATGCTGATTGAAGAATGTATTTTTTTGTATTTTCAATTCCTTTTGTTTGTTTACTATTGTGACAAATGTACTCGTACAATTCAATTGATATATTCTTGAAAATAAATGTGTGTGTTATAAAATACTTGTTTGATCTAACAAGCTGCTTATGGGTCCTGTCAACTCAATTGCAAAAAATATTTTAGTATTATTATTTATACACTGGTTAATATTATTCAGTAGTATGTATTCATATTTATAATGAATAGAGCTTTTATTTAATTTTTTTGTAATTTTTATTAGTTTTTTTAATATTCTGATTAGTTTTAAACTACATTTTATTTCAATTTTTGTTGTAGTATTTATAATTTTTTCTATTCATTATCTATTAACTATGTTATTACCTTTCTACTATTATTATTTTAATATGAATATCTCCTTAATAATAATAATAATAATAATAGTTGTTTACTAAATAAATGCTATTTATTAATAATCTTAATGTTTAAATTAATTTATGTTTTCATTTTAGTTTAAGTGAAGTTATGTGCTTATGTCATTTGTATTTTTTCGATATTTGTATTTAGCTTTACTCAATTTTAAACCATTTTTAATTGTAGTAATTTTAGTACTGTAACAAAGTTAATTTCTTTTAGTTTCTTTTTTTAAGTTCTAAGATTTTTTTCATTTTAATTCAATAATCATCAATAATAAAACATTGTTTTTGTCCAATATTCTTGTTTTAGAGGGAAGGATTACTTGTATTTTCAAGAAAACAATAACGTCATACCAGATTCTTCTACTGGAAAACCTAAACCTGTTACCACCCAAACTCTTTCAGCAAGTAACCACGCACCTGTTGACCTTTTGTCAGGTAAACCTCATTAACTTGATTTACTGAATTCATTATATTGACTTCACTGTTGAACACAGCAACATTTTGGCTGAAATACTTTGTGTCATAGATGATTTCTAAGAACTGGTCAAATTAAAGAACTGTCTGTCAATCACAATCTGAATATTGCCAAATTCTGCTGATTGATCTTGAGTTCTTTTTAAACTTCAGTTAATTCTGTCAGTTTTAAAACCTTATATTGTGTCAGTACAGCACTATAGAGCCCTGCATTTCAGCCCGGGCCTGACAGGCCCCGAATTTTTTACGCCCCTAGGGCCGGGCTTCTGGCCAATTTTCACGTCATAGTTCAGACACGGGCCGGGCCTCGTGCCTGTTTTAGGCTTCTCCATATATTTATATTTTAGACATCCATCAATTAGTGACGAAAAAAATTTGCCACGCTGGTGGAAACAACATGAGACCCTGCTACCACGACTGTCAAGAGCGGCTCGACGGTGTTTAATGTTTAGTGTTCTGCAGCAACAGCGAGCGTGCCGACAGCGCAGCTGAAGAGTTCTGCGTTCAAATGCACGCAATAGGCTAAAGCTTGCCACATAGCACCAGCAAAAGTAATTACCAAGAATGTGTCAGGGGGAAATAGTAAGATGATGTTTGAATTATTTACTAATAAACTAGTGTTTTCTGAGTCCGTGTCAAGGATGAAGTTGCCAATCTTTAGAGAGAAGTGCATCTTTACGGATTATGATTATAATGAAAGAGTTTTCAATTTGTTTTATTTCGTTAAGTAGAAATGTAAAGCTTTCTATAGATGTGAGGCATGTATTCGCTGAGTTTGGGTTCATTTTTGTGAAGCGCTCCTGTTCAAGACCGAGACGGCAGAAAGCGCATTGTGTGTTTTCTTTATTTTACAAAAGCACAACGTTTTGTTGATATTGTGAGTGGACACAAATAAAAGTAGAACCTTTACAGTTCCGAATGATATATTACTCTTACCTTTATGAGCAAAAATGACAGCGTATTTTAAGTTGTTTGCAGTGAAAAAAAATGCAAGTGATCGGGCTGGCGCCTCCATGTCCTGCAAATCGCACTTTAGCTTCCACTCTCCGCACAAACGCTTGGATATGCGTCTAACTGCACACATTGATCTAGGTTTAAACATTGTTATATGCTTGGAACTGTTTTATATCTATAGATTTTATTTTAGACAAGTCTGGCCGCTTGGTCGTTACTTTAAAAAACAAAAACATATTTAACGAACAAAAAATGCTCCAAACTTTTTTCTAAATTAACTTAATAAAAAGGGAGACGGGCTCGGGCCGGTAATTCTGATAAGCTGTCAGACACGGGCCAGGCTAGGGCCTAAATTTGAGGCCAGTGCAGGGCTCTACAGCACTATACAAATTACACATTTTTCATTAGAGATGGTTGAGGCCATTGTGGAAGTTCTGTTGCCAGATCTGTTGACAAAAAGACCAGACAGCTCTTTACACTCATGTAACACTATTTAGTGATGCATATGCCGAGTGTTTATTTATTCTTTACTTATTGTCCATTATATAGTTTACTTATTTTTATTATATATTACTTGTGTTTTTTGTATTTTTCCAGTTCTTCTGGAGCGTGGTAGCAAACTGAGAAATGCCATGGTGGTTTCAGCCTTAAAATCTGATGTGGAGCCAGATGTTCCTCTGAAGGACATTCCCCTGCCTCTCTCCAAAGACAACACTGATGTCTTGTATGAACTCTACTTATTCTTACACATACCTATGAGGGGTCAAAATAGATAAAATGGCAGAATGTTGATGATTATAAATAGTGTTAAACATCATCTTCCTCCTAAAGGCCAGCCAGGCCCTCGTCAGGACAGTTTCTGGAGAACATCCTTCAAGCAGAACACCAACATCCTGTTCACTATCTTGAAGAACCAAGTCAGAATAGAGTCAACCCAGAGGACATGGCTGTGGATTTGCTGCTGGGAAGGTAGTCAAGGCTACTGATTAATTGACGAAAATGGAACTTTGCTCATAAATACTTGATGGAAATGTGTGAAACTTTTAGAGTGAGATGAATTATTTTGTCTGTGTTTGCAAACTATATGCTTTAATGTTTGTAATGGCTCTGTTCCTCAGTGTTAATGGATCTGTGCTGCAGTTCTGGGATGGAGAGGGTTCTTTCCCAGATTCTCTTTCTGATCATAGTAGTGTGCTCATGGACAGTGAGCTCAACGACCCTCAATATGATCAGAGTCTTCTGGAGAACCTCTTCTACAAAGCTCCTGTAAGTCATACAGTGTAACACAGCAAGCTGTTATATGTAGTTTAGTTTCCTTAAACGTATAACTTTGTAAATAATTTTTTCCCTTTTTTTTAGATATCAGATGAATGTTTGGAAGAGGAGCATCAAAAGAAAGATCCAGCCGAGAAGCCAGTACATACAAGACCAACTAAAAATGCCCAGTCAGTTACACTAATGCAAGAAGAAATGCTCAAAACTCATTCACTTAAAATAAATACATTAAAAATGTATTAATAAATAAATAAACATATATGTAAATGTTTTCACATATGTGTATAGGTACAGAGAAATAAAAATAGTTTTATTTTGAAACACATTTTTTCATATCTGCTGTTGTGTAAACTGCCTTTTTTTTTTTTTTGAAGACTTGATTCTGAAGATGTGCAGCATTCAGAAGCAGGAGATGATTTCTCTGGACTTGGCATGGATATAATAGCTTTACTTGGAGATATTCATTTTGCCAGGGTCACCATCAGTGAGTTAAAAGTTTCCACTGAGAGTATTTCAAGAAGTCTCGCTAAAAAAGGAAGACCACCTCGCCCCCTCACCACAAAGAAATGGTACCACATTTGTGATATTTCACATCAGATAATATTCATAGATGATGGTGGCTAGAAGATATTGTCCATTTTTAAAAACTAACCTGATGTAAATATTTTGTTTATCTAGCTTTTATATCGTAGAGTACCTCTTTCCACTGGTCTCTGCTGGGTTTGAGGATGTTCAATGTGTACCTTCAGAGATTACAAAAGTTGTCTCTAGTAAAGTAACAGAGGGCGGTGAGTACATTAGTTTTAGAGAACTACGAGAAACCAGAAGTAGTGTAATAATCTGGTGATTCATTTTTGTTTCAGTCGTGATGTTTCAGCACCAAAGTTTGTTTCCAGTGAGGTTCAGTAGGTCATCTAGTAAACAATGGTGGGAGATGAACATCACATTCAAGATCTACTCCAGAAATAGCCTTCAAAAGACAGTAAGTGCAGTGTGTTCCAATCACAAAATCAAACAAACCTCAGAAATCAAGGCTCTTTTGGTTTTATCTGTTAGAGGCCTGATCTTCTCATTTGTTGTTAAGCCCATTCTCATTGGATCAGCAATGTTTCCACTGAGCTCCCTGATGCAGAGTGAATCGCTGAGCATTTCTGCTGCCCTTCCTGTTCAAAGACCGGATGGAAACATTGATAAACAAGCAGTTGGTCCTCTGAAGGTAAAGAATCGATCATAAGAACCAAATTTGGGAGATTTTATTGATCGAAGTGATTCATTCTTTGTCCCTTATGTTTTTTAAGGTTTCATTTGAATTAGCAGCAGACAAAAACGATTTCTCCACCAAAAAGAGACCTGCAAAACGAATGCTGAGTCCAGCAAGACCCCCTCCTTCCCGTTTGACTGAAGAGCATGATGGGCCAAAGGGTTTATGTGTGACTGACCACAGGAGAGACCCGTCTCCTAGTGCAAGTGTTCATCAAGTCCAGAGTATCCTGATACCTCCAACCAGATCACGATCCACATCACCACACGTCAGATACCAGAGCTCTCTTCATGAGCCTCTGCAGCAGGAAGTGGAGGAGACTGAGATTTTGCTTCATATGTTGCTCATGGTGCCTGATGGGAAAGATTTTAACTGTGCACCCATGCAGTCCAACATCTACTTGAACTGTAAGCTCCTCGGATCCGATGAAACCGCTCGATCGACAGTGAGCTGGGGTCAAAAACATCCATCGTTCGGTTTTATTCAGGTTGGTGCTAAATATAGAATCGAGGAAAGTTCACAGGCTTTACCCATATTACTCTGTAGTGGAAATCGTCAGGGTTCCCACAATACAGTTAGTTTATTATTTGTTTTTAATCTAATTTCTAATATGATACAGGTGGCTCCAGTCACACTGACCAGAAAACTGTTGGAGAGAATGAAGAACAACATGATGGTCATTGAAGTTTGGTTGAGGGCCAGTAGTTCAGACCATGATAAACTTCT